TGTTGCGCCTTTGAGCAAAGAAGATTCATTAGATATACTGACGAACTTCGAAGTAGTCGCTCAAAAATGTTTTCAAAAAACGCCATGTGGTGATAGGGTATTCCATGCATCGCACCTGCGGTAAATTTAAAGTCTCGAAGCTATTTTTATGTGACAACTTCAAAACTCATACAGGTTAATACAGGTTAGTTAGTGAAGTGTAGAGAGACGGGACCTCTGATTTTACGTCGTTATCCGAGAGGACGCGAAGATCTTACCATTTGCAGATGGAGAAAGACAAAGGCAGCAACTTCTCCTCRATTATTTTAAGACCCTGAGTGTTGGYCCGGCCGGGGTTTGAACCTGCGACCTCCCGCACTAAAGTCCGATGCTCTACCTACTGAGCTAACCGGTCGGCGGTTTATATATCATTCATCCCTTTCCCTAGGAACACCTTCATGGAACGCGAATATTTTTTTCCGACAAAGGATTGTGTTAACCTCTTCACTGTCCAGTTTCTCATAAACCTAAGCCGTGATTGCACTTCTGGAAGCCATTTTGGTTTTTATATTTTCCTAAAAATGTCAAAATACTAAAGGTGGCTAAATACGAGATACAAAAACCATCAACTTGGTGCACAATGTTCATCATATGATCCGTATTTCGGCCCTACGCGCACTCTTAAAAAACCTTTGGGAAATGGTCACGTGCATGATGGGTACCGTCACCGCGCCTTTTCGCGACAGGGCCGTACAAACCCGTATCTTCCCGGCTTGAAGTTCCGCAAAACCCTGTATCAGAAAGTATAGCGAGAGTCTACTTTACTCAATAACTTTGTATTATTTGCTATATGAATAATAATGGGTGATAACATCAAGCATAATGCTTTAACTTACTGTTTTATTTCCTGGTTTTGACTCTGAAGATGTTGACAGACTTTTTTCATTTCTTTGACTTCCTGACTTAAGCCTTTGTTCTCTTTTTGATTTGAAGAATCATCTTTTTCTTTGTAAGTTGATTGGTCATCTTTTACAAACTAGATGTAGATATTCAGCATAAATACGTTATGCATTATACCAAGCAACATTGCTTAAAATCATTTATAATATTCATTGTTTATTTATTATATATCCAATGAGAGTTTCCGTAAGAAAGAGCGTCATCAAGTGCCAATCAGTTTCGACTTTATATAATCGCGTAGTTCGTTGGGGGTCTAGAACACGGTTTTTTCAGCGCTGGTTAACAGACGGAAATTAGACAGACCGGATGTAACACAAGCTAGTAAAGGCCGCTTTAGAAAAAATTAACGACCGTCTTATTTCAAAACGGATTCCTTTACGAAAAGACCTTACTTACCACACAATAAAGAAAGTACGAAAAAAATTGTTTCATTTTAGTTTTTTTTTTTTCTTGAGTCTAACCCTGTATATTCTCATGCAGCTTAATCCTTAGGCCATTTGGGATTACATCTCTAGTCTCAATTTGGAAAAAAATATAGTGAAAGTTGTAATTACAACTCCAAAACATCGACTGGTTCTGTTGAATATTTTCCAAGTCATTCGAGGGAAGCCATGAGTTATATTGAACATTAGCATACCCTTAGTCGCTCTTGTTCGTATTTAACATAGATTCACTTGTCTCTTACGATGCTGACAGTGACAGCGAAAGCTTATGCAGAACCCGGTTTATATTACAACATTTTCTCGTGCTTTCTTTTGGTTTCGGTAAGGTCTTTGCTCGCCGGCTGTCAAATAAAACAGTGGCTATTCCCGTTGAATCCGATAAAACAGAGAATTTTAGATACCCGCTTACGGCGAACGCCAAACGTCCAAACTGACGTCCTTCTGACTTTTAAAGCTATTCATGGCCTGGCTCCTRTTTATGTTCAAGATATGCTTAAAAACTATCGTCCTTCTCGTTGTCTTCGTTCGTCGTCTCAACTGTTACTGTCTTCCAAGTCTTACAATCTTAAAAGTTATGGTTATCGTTCTTTTAGTGTTGCTGGACCTTTTCTATGGAATTCACTGCCATCTTCAATCAGAGACATTTCTTCACTTGACAATTTTAAAACTGCTCTCAAAACCTTCCTTTTTAAACAAACTTATGATCTGTAACTCTATTTTAACTTTCTTAATATCTTAATTTTTACCTTTTTATTTGCGCTTAGAAAAAGGTTTTATAAGCGCTTTATAAGCTTAGATTATTATTATTATTATTATTATCACGTGATCACTGTTTTTTTCTGTATTAATGCGCGTGTATAAAATAGATCATAGATTATGCGCGTGCATAAAGAAGCGCATTACTAATCCTTTCATATCGTTCTTACGTTTTATTTGAAATTTTGAGACAAAGCAAAAAAGCCAATATGACTTTTGGCGTTTGCAGTAAACGAGAATCTAAAACTCTATAACGTTATAATAAATACCCTGAATAGGACTTTGACGTCTGGATGAGTTATCGCCACAAAAGGAAAGAGGTTGTCGCGTTTTGCCCGAGCTTGTCCAACCAGTCGTCGGTTACGCGTTAATTGAACTAAATACCCATCGTCCGTTGCCGGCTCGTCAAACATTACTCTGCAGCCTATCATATCACCAGTGTACGGGAAAGGGTCGATTTCATCGATGCGATGTGAGACTAAAATATCAAGTGATTACAATGATGTTTGAGTAGTAAGGGGGGTTTGGGGGTACTCCCCATGAAATTTTGGAATTGTAACTCTTGGAAATTTGATTTCCAGCGTTTTGATTTCCGGCATTGAGAGCATATTAAACCATCAAATCCCGAAAAGTTGAATATTTCCTTGCCACTAGTACGCTAGTGCGTATATTCGTAAAGGACGCTAAGCTCCTGTCTTTGTTCAAAAAGTATTTTTACAAGTTAGTTTGCCGAGTTGTTTAAAATTTTCGAAGTGATATGACTTGACTGTGATCAGCGCGTACATCGATGTTTATGATTGAAAAAATAATACTTATTCAGCTCTTTAGAGTTCAAGGTATTTTTTCATGATTCAGTGATTGTGTTATAATAAAACAGTTTATCATATAATTGTCTCGTTGTCTACCAGCTTTTAGTATGCCCATTTCGTGGAATAACTGTTAATTACATTACCAATTGTTATATTGGTAAATTATTTTCATTGTTTTCTCGCTCTCTTATTGGACGATTCGGTGTCACGTGTCCGGAGCTAAAATCAACTGTTGACTGATCGGTCAACAGTTTGGCGATTGTTGACCGCTTGGCGGGAAAAGGCCGCCTCGCGTCGAGAAGTTTGTAAAGGCGGGAATTGGTTTTTACGACAGTCGCTTTCGACTGTTTACAAAATGGAGCCGGCATCAAAAAGATTTTCAAATCTTAGTCAAGAAATAGACCAAATGGTCGTCAACAAAGACTCGGAAAACACTAACAAAGCTACAAAGACTGCTGTGGCTACGACTCTGATAGAATTCTGCAGAGAAACCAAGAGAGAAACGGTGAATTTGGACAAATGTGACGTTAAATTTCTATTCAAAGGAACTCATTGACTGTTTCATTCATAAAGTTTTGCTAGTTTTTTGGCATTTGTGTATTTATATTAGTTATATTTTCAAGCGACATTTGTAATTTAAACGCTCAACATCTTGCTATTTTGTCGCGACGCCGGGTCAAATATTACATTCACAATAAAGTATTATTGGGAGTCATCTTGCAATGTGTTTTGATTTATTTATTAACATAATTTATCAATATGTTTCCTCGGCGTACCTCAGGAAACATTGAGATTCTCGGGAAACAAAACTAACCATTTCCCTTGGGAACAGTCATTAAGTGTATAATATTACATGAATATATTACTAACCACCGGGTTGTTCTCCATATCCAACGATGTATCCAACGCTGTTGTCGTTGTTTCCTGGAAACGTTTCTTTCTTGTTCTCTCTGCTGGTTAATCCTATTCCAAGATAACGTTTACTACCAGCGGATTCGATGAGGACCTGAGATTCAGAAAATTGGTCTAGAAATTAATTGCTTCCTTTACTTTCTAGAGAACATTTCTAGATAATATTTCCTTGAAAAAGTGACCGGCTTTAAATCTCAGTATTACCTCGAATCCTGGAGTATCCTTCGACAATTTTTGATTGTGACGTACAGAATGAATACAAGAATTTTCATTGTTATCACCAATGTGAGCATCTTTAGTACATTTTTTGACCATATACATTCTTTGATTCTCCACCGATAAAGGTCGATCTTCATCAAGAACAACCCAATTCTTCTGCAAAATATAATAATAATAATAACAATGATAAAAAGAATATTGAATGAATGGATCGTCATGAGTCGTCATCAAATTAGGATGAGGGTATTACGGTGTTTGGATCACAATAGTTCTCGAATTTCTTCAGGTTCTAATCGAGCTATAACATTCACCGACGATGTTAAAAGACAAACCCAAAGCATCAAAGTACCATCGACTCTAGCTAACTATTCCCTTTGTCCGCCAGTCTTAAACAAGAATGATGAGTAGTGCCTGTCACTATTTATGCCCTCCCCCCTCTAGCTATTTTCTGCGAGACTAAATATAATGAAATTTTTGCCTACAAAAAGGGGTAATTCCAATTATGAAAAAGTCCAATCAAAATGCAAACCTCCTGCCCCACCCATGGCGATAAGCATTATTGTCAGGTCCCTAATGACAGTTCCCGAAAGTAGGAATGAATTATCTTAATCGAAGAATACCAGATATACGCAAAGTGCATGATATTGGAATTAGAATTTATTTTTTGGCTTTGAACATTTTCTTTCAATTGCTTACTGTTTACTTTCATCTCTACCAAAAAATCATAAAATGTTATTTGATCATCATAGATACTCACAGATGTTCTGCTTAATTGAGTTTCCTCTAAATAAACTTCTCTCACAATGTGCCTCAGCAACCGTTGATTTCTTTTTAATATCTTTTCTTCCACCGATTCTTTGTAGAGATAAAGAAAGTCATAAATATTTGGCACTCGGTCTTTTATCTAAATTGTAGAGCCTGTTTAAGACAGTTTCGGGTGAAATGTATACCCTGTTTAAGACAGCAAGTCCAAAAATCATACCCTGGCCAGCGGCACGTCACGGCGTCCCCGTATAGAAAATATATGTGAGTACCCCCCGGGGCTTTTACCTCGAATTTAGCAAGATGAAACTCGGCAATGTTCACAATCTTGTTAATGCGAGCCAACATGGTGTTTGCCCAATCTGAGTGGATTTTGGTTTGTATGGGTGCTTGTCACACTGCTTAATGACATATCACAAACCTTGATGGGGGAAGAAATCACCATACTCAGCCAAATACTCTTTATTGAGCTGCTCGCCAATTTTCATCAATTTCTACAAAAATAAAGGTATATATATTTGACAGCACCCAATGTAACCTTCATTAACTCCAGGTGCAGATTCGTAAATATTCCATCATTTTAGCCAATATTGCGCGCACTCCTGCGTGTTCTGCCCGATGCCCTGCGGTAAGTCACAATCCTTATTTAATTTGTTCACTGTTATTAACACTTGCAAGCTTAGAATAATAAATCGTAATCAGTTATTCCAGTATTAATGCAACTACAATGGCGATCACCCTTGTCGAGTCAAC